ATGGACTGGGGTTGGAGCAGGAGGAGAGGACCAGGTTTCCCCACTGAAACCTACACATTCAGGTCAAAAACAATATTGCAATTTACAATCTTGTACACAAATCTGCATATGTTCTGATTATTTCCTTAGGGAAAATTCCTAGAATGTTGGTTCAAATTATTATTGGCTGGGTGCAGTGGCTCACACCTGTAATCCCAGCACTTTGGGAGGCTGAGGCAGGCGGATCACCTGAGGTTGGGAGTTCAAGACCAGCCTGACCAACATGGAGAAACCCCGTCTCTACTAAAAATACAAAATTAGCCAGGCGTGGTAGTGTGGGCCTGTAATCCCAGCTACCTGGGAGACTGAGGCAGAAGAATCATTTGAACTCAGAAGACGGAGATTGTGGTGAGCTGAGATCATGCCATTGCACTCCAGCCTGGGAAACAAGAGAAAAATTCTGTCTCAAAAAAATTGTTTTTGCATTGTTATTATTTCATTATTGGAGACAGAGTCTCGCTCTGTTGCCCAGGATGGAGTGCAGTGGATCTTGGCTCAATGCAGCCTATGCCTCCCAGATTCAAGCGATTCTCTTGCCCCAGCCTAACCAGTAGCTGTGACTACAGGTGCATGCCACCATGCCCAGCTAATTTTTTGTATTTTTAGTAGAGACAGGGTTTCATCATGTTGCGCAGGCTGGTCTCGAACGCCTGAGCTCAGGCAATCTGCCCACCTCAGCCTCCCAAAGTGCTAAGATTACAGGCATGAGTAAAATTATTTTTAATTAACCACATTTAACTTTGGAAACAAACCCTAGACTGCCTGCCAGAATGTTTTACCAATTTATTCTCATACCAAGAGTGTGAAGACTCTACACCCACTATAGCAGGGCAAATGGCCCACAGCCGCACCAACATAGGGGATTAGTCTTTTTTAATTTTTTGGAGACAAGGTCTCACTCTATCACCCAAGTTGGAGTGCAGTGACATGATCACGGCTCACTGCAGCGTTGACCTCCTGGTCTCAAGTGATCCTGCCACCTCAGCCTCCCCAGTAGCTGGGATTACAGGCACACACCACCATACCTGGCTAATTTTTTATTTTTTGTAGAGACAGAGTCTCACTATGTTGCCCACGCTGGTCTCAAACTCCTGGTGCAAGTGATCTGATCACTTCACCTCCCAAAGTGCTGGGATTACTGGTGTGAGCCACCATGCTCAACCAATTCTTTTTTTTTTTTTTTTTTGAGACAGGGTCTTGCTCTGCCCCCCAGGCTGGAGTGCAGTGACACGATCTTGGCTCACTGCCACTTCTGCCTCCTGGGCTCAAGTGATTCTCGTGCCTCAGCCTCCCGAGGAGCTGGGATTACAGGCGCCTGCCACCAGGCCCGGTTAATTTTTTGTATTTTTAGTAGAGACAGGGTTTCACCATGTTACCCGGGCTGGTCTCGAACGCCTGAGCTCAGGCAGTCTGCCCACCTCAGCCTCCCAAAGTGCTAAGATTACAGGCACAAGTAAAATTATTTTTAATTAACCAAATTTAACTTTGGAAACAAACTCTAGACTGCCTGCCAGAACGTTTTACCAATTTATTCTCATGCCAAGAGTGTGAAGACTCTACACCCACTACAGCAGGGCAAATGGCCCACAGCCGCACCAACATAGGGGATTAGTCTTTTTTAATTTTTTGGAGACAAGGTCTCACTCTGTCATCCAAGTTGAAGTGCAGTGGCGTGATCACGGCTCACTGCAGCGTCAACCTCCCGGTCTCAAGTGATCCTGCCACCTCAGCCTCCCCAGTAGCTGGGACTACAGGTATGCACCACCACACCCGGCTAATTTTTTATTTTTTTCTAGAGACAGAGTCTCACTATGTTGCCCAGGCTGGTCTCGAACTCCTGGTGCAAGTGATCTGATCACCTCACCTCCCAAAGTGCTGGGATTCTGGGATTACTGGTATAAGCCACCATGCTCAGCCAAGTATTCTTTTTTTTTTTGAGACAGGGTCTTGCTCTGTCCCCCAGGTTGGAGTGAAGTGGCGTGGTCTCAGCTCATTGCAATTTTTGCCTCCTAGGCTCAAGTGATTCGGCTGCCTTAGCCGCCTGAGTAGCTGGGACTACGGGTGCCTGCCACCAAGCCTCACTAGTTTTTGTATTTTTTGTAGAGACAAGGTTTTGCCATGCTGCCCAGGCTGGTCTCCAACTCCTGAGCTCAGATGATCTACTCACCTTGGCCTCCCAAAGTGCTAGGATTACAGGCATGAGCCACCACACCTGGCCAGGTATTATTCTTTACCTTTCTGCAATCTAAGTGAAAAAGAGCTCATTGTTTTAATGCACATTTCTCAGTAAGTTCGATCGCCTTTTCTATTTTTGAGTCATTTATATGTCATCTTTTATAATGAGTGTTACAGATGTATCTAAACATATTTTGGTTTTGGTTTAACTTGGGGGGTTTTCTGACACTAAACATTTTTATAAGTAATGCATGCCTGTGGTAAATTATTTTAAAGCAGAACAAAAGGATACATTGGTGAAAAATAAGTTTCCCTCCCTCCAACTCAGTATCCAAGTTCTCCAGCTAATTCATCTCACCATTTTCCTGGTATCCATTCAGAGAGATTATTTACACTGACAAGTACTGTATTTTCATAAATAAAAGGCAAGTGCAAGTGAAATGGAGGCTGAGCTTAGATACTGGATTCTTTTCATTTCTTCGTTCCCCATTCTGGGTACAAACGGTGACCAAGGAAATATATGATTACACAACATCCTGCCTTTGAGGAATTATGTGATTACAAGACGATCTGATAAGCACTGCAAGAGAGGTGTTTTGTACAAACAACAATGGAGCTTCTAGAATGGAACAGAGTTAATGCATTATTTACTAAGTGTCTGCTATACGCTAAACACTGAGTTATAATCCCTCCTGTATGTTCTAATTTACTTCTACCTTACAATGCTTGTACTGTATATTCTGATTTACAATGGCGCTAAAGTTCAGTATTGTTGTCCTCATTTTACAGATGATGAAACACCCACCCAAGGCCTCTGTACCATACAGAATGATGCTTCTCTCCAGTGGCCGCCCTGAGCACATGCCATGAAGAATGAAAGCCAGGAAACAAAGGAGCAAACTGGTTCATCATTAAAACCCGTATGCTTTCCCTTGGATCACAACTTTTCTTCTTCTTTTTTTTTTTTTTTGGATATGGAGTCTCGCTCCGTTGCCCAGGCTGGAGTGCAGTGGCGCAATCCTGGTTCACTGCAAGCTCCGCCTCCTGGGTTCACGCCATTCTCCTGCCTCAGCCTCCCGAGTAGCTGGGATTGCAGGCGCTCACCACCACGCCCGGCTAATTGTTTGTATTTTTAGTAGAGACAGGGTTTCACCATGTTAGCCAGGATGGTCTCGATCTCCTGACCTCTTGATCCGCCCGCCTCGGCCTCCCAAAGTGCTGGGATTACAGGCATGAGCCACCGCACCCGGCAGGATCACAACTTTCCTGATTCACCCAGGAAGAAATCCACGAGTTTCCAAAAGCAGCCTTTTCAGGCAGACCCTGAAAACATTTTTCCCAGGGTCCTAGAAACAAATCATGAACAAACCACTTTATGGCAAGCCCTGTCGCTTGCTGACCAGCCTCTGCTCTGCCTGAGAGGCCTCGAGACCACCCTGGGAGCACTCCCAGAAAAGCGCAAAGTTCCATGAGACTGACATGAGGGACAGTGAATTATCCCAACTCATGGTTCTGAAGGGTTTATTAATGTATGCATGGATCAAAACCCTGGATGCCAAATATTTTGCTTCCAAATAAATTCTTCTTTGTTTCCTTTTTTTTTTTGAGATGATGTACTAGTCCATTTTCACACTGCTGACAAAGACATACCTGACACTGGGCAATTTACCAAAAAAAAGGTTTAATGGACTTAACAGTTCCACGTGGCTGAGGAGGCCTCACAATTATGGTGGAAGGTAAAAGGCACGTCTCACATGGTGGCAGACAAAAGAGAGCTTGTGCAGGGAAACTCCCCTTTTTAAAAACCAATGGATCTCGTGAGACTTATTCACTATCACAAGAACAGCACGGGTAAGACCTGCCCCATGGTTCAATTACCTCCCACCAGGTCCCTCCCATAACACATGGGAATTCAAGGTGAGATCTGGGTGTGGACACAGCCAAACCATATCAGATGGAGTCTCACTCTGTCACCCAGGCTGGAGTGCAGTGGCATGATCTTGGCTCACTGCAACCTCCACCTCCTGGGTTCAAGCAATTCTTCTGCCTTAGCCTCCCGAGTAGCTGGGACTACAGTCAGGCACCACCACGCCTGGTTAAATTTTTGTGTTTTTTAGTAGAGATGGGGTTTCAACATGTTGGGCAGGCTGGTCTTGAACTCCTGACCTCAAGTGATCTGCCTGCCTCACCTCCTAAAAGTGCTGGGATTACAGGCATGAGCCACTGCGCCCAGCCCTTTGGTTCCTTCTTTATGAGTCGATAATGAAAAATAAATTTTGAACAAAAGAAATTCTCCTTTGGTACAAAATGATGCAAGTGTATAAGACGGATCACTAAAGATGATACTGCTTCCTTTGATTAGAACCAAACCAGAAGTGGTACAGGATGACCACCACATGGCTACACAGACCAATCTCGGGGGGGTCAGGGCAGCACACTGGGAGAGTCTCGTTCTCCACTAACATTGTCAATGTGCCCTGAGACTGGGCTTACCAGTCGGACTCACAAGAGACTGATGCTTAAACCAAATCTTGTTTACTTGTTTATAGTTGAGAGAGGCTAGCATACTTGTACTGTATCCTTGTGTACCTAATGCAAGAATATACTTATTTACCCTCCTAGCAAGAAAGTGAAAGCATTTGTTTCACTAGATGCCTTCTATTGTTCACTACTAAAAATTAAGAAAATATTTAAACTTGACAAGTCAAAAATAGATTTCACTTAAGTAGGCTTCCTCTGACTATGAGGGCATCATTCATAGCAGGACACAGAGGGCTTTGACTCACTCTCTGGAGCTCTACTCCCAACTCAGGCTGGCTCCGCACTTCCTTCTTCCAGGTACAGCCGTTCTGTATGCTGCAGGGGAGAAAGACACAAGGCCATCACTTCACTCCTGGCCATCCCATCTCTACAACTCATAGGCTAGTGAGTGTCAGACAAACCCTGGATCTCAGAATTTCAATCTGATGGGCCCTTTTGGGGAAATAATAACTATCTAAACAGGTAGTTCTCTAAACTACAAAGCAACCCATCTTTTTTTTTTTTTTTTTTTTTGACAAAGTCTTGCTCTGTCATCCAAGCTGGAGTGCAGTGGCACAATGCTAGCTCACTGCAGCCTTGAACTCCTGGACTCAAGTGATTCTCTTGCTTCAGCCTCTAGAGTAGCTGGAATTATAGGTGTGAGTGACCACACCCAGCCTCCAACCCATTATTTCTTCTCTGTCCTCACTGTATCTAACCTGCATTCTCTGTACCTCTTACTACCCTCCAGGAGTCTTTGGTTGCAGCTTCTAGTAACAATAATTATTCAGGATCAGTAGGTGAGGAACATTTCTCTGGAAGCACCTCTGGCCTCAGTGACTGAAAAACAATTCTGCTGGAGTTAATACAGAGCAAAGCCAGTTTTTGGTAACAGAATTAACATGTCAAAGGTACATTTAGAGCCTGAGCCTTTTTCTCATTTTAAGACTCCTATTAGTTTCAAGTCAAGGCTAAATGAAACTAAAAAGATTCCCATCCAGCTAGAAGTTGCACTAATTTCAAAACTGTGTGAGCCTCTTGTTCTTGCAGGCATGAGTTGCAGCCATTGTTTCCTTGATAAGACTGGAGACTAGGTAGCAACAGTTTTCTAACTGCTCAATCAAGCATTCTGAACACCAATAAGAAAACCTCTTGCTGAATTTGGGATAAAGATAATCTTGCTTACCTAGACTCCCTTGGTGTAGGTGAGAAGGCTCTGTGTCAATTTCGGATCAGTATCAACTTCTCATGAAGGATACAGTAAAGGCCATAAGAACCAGAGCCATATTTATGTTTAGGTAATAGACCTTAAAAGGCAGTACCACCTGGGAATGGAAAACACACCAAACATAGTGAGCAATTCATTCTGGAAATCATGTTAAACATCGCCAGGGAAGATACCCCATTTACCTTGAAGTGATTACGCATTGCATGCCTGCATCAAAACATTTCATGTACCACATAAATATATACACCTACCATGTACCCATAAAAATTAAAAATATAACTACCACTAACATTTTAATAGTCTTCAAAAGCGACTTTGTTATTATTTTTGTTTCATAACCAATTTTACTCCCCCAAACGAGTACCTTTCCATTTCAATATATAGCTGCATCATCATAAAAAAATCACTAGGGAAAAAGTAACCAGGGGCAGGGGCTCACGCCTGTGATCCCAGCACTTTCAGAGGCCAAGGTGGGCAGATCATGAGGTCAGGAGTTCGAGACCAGCCTGGCCAATATGGGGAAACGCTGTCCTCTACTAAAAATACAAAAATTAGCCAGGCATGGTGGCGCACACCTGTAGTACCAGCTACTCGGGAGGTTGAGCCAGAAGAATCGCTTGAACCCAGGAGATGGAGGTTGCAGTGAGTAGACCAGGTGTGGTGGCTCATACCTATAATCCCAGCACTTTGGGAGGCTGATGTGGGCAAATCACTTGAGGCCAGGAGTTTCAGACCAGCCTGGCCAACATGGGGAAACCACATCTCTACGAAAAATACAAAAATTAAATGGGTGTGGTGGCATGCGCCTGTCATCCCAGCTACTCTGGTAGATGAGGCATGAGAATCACTTGAACCCGGGAGGCGAAAGTTGCAGTGAGCAGAGACTGCACCACTGCACTCCAGTCTGGGCAACAGTGAGACTCTGTCTCAACAAATAAATAAATAAATAAATAGTAAATAGTGGTGATCTCTGGGTGACAGGAATGTGGTGCCATTTTTCCCCCTGTATTTTCTAACTTTCTAAAATGCACATATACTGCTTTTGTAATTATGTTATTTTTAATATTTTTAAAAAGATAATTTTCAGAGAAAGCAGATGCTGGGCTATAGAAAGAATTTCAACACAAACAGGTTGTAGTTGTTATTACTGGTACCATGTTAAAGACAGAAATGGAAAAACTTGCAAAAGATTGTGGTGGAAGGATTTTTAAATTTTGATAATTAAAATATGTTACTTGAACATATAGTAGATATACAGTCAAGCATTTGTGATTTACAAAACTGAGTTAGGGGTATAATGCAGTCTAATTTTTCAATCTTGGTCTATCTTGGACTTTGTATGTCATCTCTTTATTTTCAGGAAGATAAAGCTTTCAAGCTTCCTCCTCCTTGGTCTACTTGTTTATAGTTTTGATAGCTCTTAGGAAAGATAGTCTAGGGAAGATTGTTTCCTCTCCCATTTCAGGTATATCCCTCTCTCTGGTAATCCACTGAGTTAATATCACAGGCTTCATTTCAAAGCCTTGGAAACTGTGTTTATTTCTTTGTAATTATGGCAACAGGATTTAAAGAAGAGAGCCATGGGAGTCTCCTGTTCTTGGTGAAAGAGCCACAAATCCAGATCAGGAGAATCTCAGACTACAATGAGACATCACTGATGTAAGAATAGCATTAAAGGCCGGGCGTGGTGGCTCAAGCCTGTAATCCCAGCACTTTGGGAGGCCAAGATGGGCGGATCACGAGGTCAGGAGATCGAGACTATCCTGGCTAACACGGTGAAACCTCGTCTCTACTAAAAAATACAAAAAAAATAGCCGGGCAAGGTGGCGGGCACCTGTAGTTCCAGCTACTCAGGAGGCTGAGGCAGGAGAATGGCGTAAACCCGGGAGGCGGAGCTTGCAGTGAGCCGCGATCCGGGCACTGCATTCCGGCCTGGGCGACAGAGCGAGACTCCGTCTCAAAAAAAAAAAAAAAAAAAAAAAGCATTAAATAGGCCGGGCGCGGTGGCTCATGCTTGTAATCCCAGCACTTTGGGGGGCCAATGCGGGTGGATCACAAGGTCACGAGATCGAGGCCATCTTGGCCAATATGATGCAGCCCCATCTCTACTAAAAATACAAAAAAAAAAAAAAAAAAAATTAGCCAGGTGTGGTGGCAGGTGCCTGTGCCAGTTACTCGGGAGGCTGAGGCAGGAGAATCACTTGAACCCAGGAGGCAGAGGTTGCAGTGAGCTGACATTGTGCCACCACACTCCCGACTGGCTACAGAGTGAGACTCTGTCTCAAAAAAAAAAAAAAAAAAAAAAGATAAGCACAAACCGAGAATGGAAAGATGACTACGTTAACACCACAGTGACTCAATAATGAACATTTATTTGGCTTACACCTTCATATACAGGCTATTAGTTCTTCTTCAACATGTATGCTTTGGACTGGTCTAGCCTGTAGGGAAGTTTGTTCTTACCATTCTTCCACCTGTCCTGGAAGCACCTTTACTGGGACTCCCCAGGTACCTCTTTTGTGATCCATCCCCATAAGGTCTAGCTCTTAGCTGTCAAGAGATGTCATTTGTGGCAGATACTGCTGTTTCTTATCTAACTTACTTTCCACATCTCTTTTCATTTGTAACAAAGCCCTGATTTTGTGCAGGTAGAGTATCATGGGAGGCTGGGTCCTTCCTCTAGTGACAAGGGCTGAAGCATGATGGGCCCCAAATAATTATGATATTTATTCTTGGTAATAACTAGTTTAGAATGGGTACATGACACAATACATGTCTGCATATTTTACCTGGATTCTACTGTCAACTTTACCAACATGCTAAGGGTGGCAGAGGAGAAGCACTGGGACCTTGATGTTGTCACTGGGCTACCAAATTAACCAACCTGCAACTGCTCTTTGAAAATCATTTCGGTGGGTTTGCTGTTACTTGTAGCTGAAACTATCCTATCAGATATTCCACAAAATCACATTACCTAACTTGTCAAATCTCCTAATATTGTTTTAATAACCATGCAGCCATTCATTAAGCTTTTAGATACAGGGATGTGCCTGGCACTAGAATAAGGAAATATGTTGAGACTTTTCAGGCTTTTCTATCAAGGAAGGTACCTATCATTTTCGTCTTTTTTTCCCCCCCCAAACACCTTTATAAACGGACAATTTCTTTCACTTACATTATCTTATAATCTGAAACTACCCTCTGAGTTAGCCCAGAGAGGCATCCTGAGCTGTTTGCAGCTGAGGAAAGCAAAGTTGTAAACTGGCCAAGATTACCAACCAATCAGTGTCAGAGCTTGGGACGGAGTTCAATTTTCCAATTCCAAATCTCTACACTAGGGCACTCCCTCTTCCGCCAACAAACAATAGGAAATAACTGGCTCTAGGGTAGGCTGAATGTGAGGTATCTGGGGGCGAACAATGTCCCGCGACGCAAACCTAGGGCTCTATACCCGCGTGGGGTCCTCTGTGACTATGGAGCTGACGCGGCTCGGTTAGGCTGCAGCTACGGGTAAAATACATAATGCCTCTAGAACACTTGGAGTCGGAGCCTAGCAACCTGGCCTACACCGATGTCAACGTTGTGAACGTAGAAAAAGACATTCCTTCATGTTCTACGGCCCCACCATCCGCCCAAGACACAAAGGACAGCTCAAGCCCAGGCTAGGCCCGAACCCCCGGCCTCTCAATCACCCCGCTCTGGCCAGACCAAAATTTCAGGCCTACAGGGCACTGTTGGCCAAACCCACATTTTGTTACCGATTTTCTTTCGAGTTCCGGTGTCTCCCAGTCTTCTTTCTGCCCTTCTTCTCGGAAACATTACGTCCCTCTGGGTTCACCCTAAGACTCTACTTTAGCGGGTAAACAGGCCCGGAGCTCACAGGGGAGACCCCGCCAGCGGAAGCGGAAATGCTTGCTTAGAGAAAAGGAGGAAAACTACTTCTCGCAGCTGCCCAGTAGCTACAGGTCCTCGGTTAAGGTGTTCGATTGGTCAACACAAAAGAAGGACTTCCCCTTCGGGAGAACTCCGACCAATCAAAGGGCAGAATGGCGGATAGGGCTGGGGGCGGGTCGCTTCCGGCGGCTTTTCCCGCAGCTCTTGCGTAGAGGAGCATGAGAGCGTGGGAGTTTTGCAGCGGCCGTGGCGTTCTTCGTCGCGTCCCGGTTGGGCGTCGCTTTCTGCAGCTCCTGTCCGGGAGCGCAAAGCCTGTCATTAGCAGCCGAGCGGTAAGTGGGCCCCTTTCGAGGCCGGGCCAGGAGGAGGTGCAGTCAGCGTAGGTTTTTAAGGGGGGTTCGGAGGTAATCGAGGGAGGCTGGGGTACTGGAGGAGCCTGGCCGCAGAATAGGTCCGTTTAAAGACTATTCTCTCCCCCCGCAGCTTCGTCTCGAAGTCCCTGTGGCGTCTTGAAGAAGGCATTCCCCATCCGCCAAATGGCGTCCATGCCCCCGACTCCCGAGGCTCAGGTGAGTGGAGGTACCTTTTTCGTCCAAGTTTGTTGCTGCTTTCGGTCTCTTCCTGACCCCCTCCTTTGGAGGAGGGTTGGGCATTCATGTTGTGGTAGGAGTGCACCTGAGCCCCAAATAGCCCTTTGACCAAGCGTTCTTCTTTCCAAGACCAGGCATATAGAAGTGGTTTACCAACTTCCTTCTTTCAGAACTGCCAACTGGGAGCGGGGCCCTTGGAGGAATCTCTGAGAGAGTTTCTCAGTGTCTTATCTGTTTTGTTTAGAGATAAGGTCTGGCCTTGTCGCTGGAGTGTTGCTTTTCTGGCTGGAGTGCAGTGCTGACATCATAGCTCCATCTGGAACTCAGGGAATCCTCGCGCCTCAGCTTCTCGAGTAGCTGAGAGGCGCGCATACCACAGTGTCTGGCCACTTTTAAAAATTCTTTATGGGGATGGAGTCTTGCGGCTTTGCCCAGGAACTCCTGGCTTTCCAGCTGTCCTCCCATCTCGACCTCCCAAAGTGCTAGGATTAAAAGTGACTTTCTGGAATGGTTCCCAAAAGTACAGATTTGGTACTTATCCAATTTGAATGGATTTTTAAATTAAGCACATTTCTAGACTCTGCACTTGTAGAGTAATAGTAAATCCCAGGTGATTCATTATCACACCATTAGGGAAGGTGGGGTAGGCCTGGATGAAGCGCTGGAGTGAGCTTAGCAATGAGTGTCATGGGGACGAAAGAGAGGAAATAGCAAAGGGAAGGATGTTGGGAGAATCCTGTAACCTTTATCTCTTTATGATTCTTCCTGGGCTACCCAACCTTCTTTTCTTTTCTTTTTTCTTTTTTTTATTTTTTGAGATGGAGTCTCGCTGTGATGCCTAGGCTGGAGTGCAATGGTGCGATCTCAGCTCCTTGCAATCTCTGCTTCCCGGATTCAAGCAATTCTCTTGTCCCAGCCTCCCAAGTAGCTGGGACTACAGGCACATGCCACCACACCCAGCTATTTTCATTTTAATTTGTTTTTATTTTATTTATTTATTTATTTATTTATTTATTTTTTTGAGATGGAATTTTGCTCTGTTGCCCAGGCTGGAGTGCAGTGGCACAATCTCGGCTAACTGCAACCTCTTCCTCCTGGGTTCAAATGATTCTCCTGCGTCAGCCTCCCAAGTAGCTGGGATTACAGGCATGCGCCACCACATCTGGCTAATTTTTTGTATTTAGTGGAGACAGAGTTTCACCATGTTGGTCAGGCTGGTCTTGAACTCCTGACCTCAGGTAATCCACTCGCCTCCACCTCCCAAAGTGCTGGGGTTACAGGCATGAGCCACTGTGCCCGGCCTTAATTTTTGTAATTTTACTAGAGACAGGGTTTCACCATATTGGCCAGGCTGGTCTCGAACTCCTGACCTCAAGTCATCCGCCCCCCTCAGACTCCCAAAGTGTTGGGATTACAGGCATGAGCTACCGCACCCGGCCCCAACCTTCTCCTTTTCTTAGAGCATCCTTACTTAATGGTTTTTCCCCCAAGAGCTGTTCCCTTATCTTTTCTCTTCCAAGATAGACTATAATTGTCACAGTCCACCATCCTTATACCACTGCCTAAAAATATCCATGATTACTCTCTTCTTTCCAACCCTCACCCCACCCCTTAGAACCCATTTACCCCACTCCTGCACTCAAGAACCTTTTACACCAAGCCCTTTTATCCCATGCATCTGATGTTTCTAGCTCTTCTCATCCTTCCTAGGTTAAGTAAGGGACTGACCCTCCACCCTCTTGTACTGACACAGGCTCTTATGTTTCAGGGACCAATACTCTTTGAGGATCTGGCAGTGTATTTTTCTCAAGAGGAGTGTGTGACTCTGCACCCTGCCCAGATGTCCCTCAGTAGAGATGCTACAAAGGAGTGTTTGGAGGATGCGGCCTTGATGGGTAAGGCAATTGTTTTTCTTGCATCTGGAACTTTTGTCAGTTCTAGGATGAGAACTTAATGCTTTTTCCACATGTTGGTATGGTGGAGTGGGACCTGTGCCTGAGTAATTTATGTGGAGATGATAATTGTATGAGAGAAAAAGTTTTAAAATATGAGATGATTTCTTTCTTTCTTTTTTTTTTTTTTTTTTTGAGACGGAGTCTGGCTCTGTCTCGCAGACTGGAGTGCAGTGGTGCGATCTCTGCTCACTGCAAGCTCCGCCTCCTAGGTTCACGCCATTCTTCTGCCTCACCCTCCCGAGTAGCTGGGACTATAGGCGCCCAACACCACGCCTGGCTAATTTTTTGTATTTTTAGTAGTGACGGGGTTTCACCGTGTTAGCCAGGATGGTCTCAATCTCCTGACCTCATGATCTGCCCGCCTCAGCCTCCCAAAGTGCTGGGATTACAGGCATAAGCCACCGCGCCCGGCCGAAATGATTTTTTAAAGACAAAACTTCAGTCTAGTACAGTGCCTGTGGTTTACTACAAGAGATGGCAGTATTTGGTAATCTTTCACAAACATTTATTGCAGTTAGTTTACAATTTTACTTGGGAAATCCCGTTAGTATCGATCACTATCATTTGCTAAAGACTGGAAATTGATTTACTCTTAAGGGGTGCTATGCCTTTCTCACCTATGGGGAACCATACACAGATGGACTCCTGTGCCTCAGTGGATTTTATTTCTGACTAGGATTGAGTATCTAAACTATTCTATTTATTTGTTCTAAGTAATTATTCTAAATAATTTGGAATAGTTTAGATACTCAATCCTAGTCAGAAAAGAACAACTAGAATAACTAGTTATTCTAAATAACTCATATTTTCTATCTTCCACTTTTCTCTTCATCATGTTCATGTTGTCTTCTATCTGCTTAAACTTATGGAGTATATTTATAATGGTTATTTAAACTTTTTTTTCCTGCTAGTTTTATCATTGATGTGGTTTCTGGGTCTGTTTCTATTAATTGATTTGTCTTCTAGTTATGGGTTATATTTTCTATATTTTCTTTACTTTCATGTAAATTTTGGTTGGATGTTGGATTAAGAATTTTATGTTTTTGGAGCCAGGATTTCGTTGCATTTTTTAAAATATTTTGGATTTTGTTGTGGGAGGCGGTTAAGTTACTTGGGGTCAGTTTGATTGTTTCAAGGTGTGCTTTTTTTTTTTTGCTTTGTTAGGATGGGTTCAGATCAAGCTTTCTGCTAGGGCTTATTTGAGTTACTGCTAAGGCAGTATTTTTCCATGGACATTGCTGCTCAATGTCTTATGTCTTTCCACTTTGGCTGGAGGCAACATGGACTGGTTATTGCTCTGTTACTCCTTTTAGGCGGTTCTTTCCACAGCATTGGGTAGTTTCTTCATGCACTTGTAGATTACTCAGCCAAAGTTGTGGGTTTTTTTGTATTTGGTTTTGTTTTTTGATACAGTATCTTGATCTGACGCTCAGGCTGGAGTGCAGTGGCACAATCACGGCTCACTGCAGCGCTGACCTCCCAGGCTCAAGCAGTCCTCCCACCTCAGCCTCCCAAGTAGCTGGGACTACAGGCATGCACTACCATGCCTAGCTAATTTTTTTGTTTTTTTTTGTAGAGACAGGGCTTTGCCATATTGCCCAGGCTGGTCTCGAACTCCACGGCTCAAGTGATCCTCCCACCTCAGCCTCCCAGTGTGCTGGGATTACAGGTGTGAGCCACTGTACCTAGCCTCAGGAAAGTCTTAAGAGGACCCCATGTAGATGACCTGAGCGCTCTTTCTGAGCAGCTGCCTCTTTGCTGTTTTGCTTTCAAATTCTAGCTGCCTTGGCATCCCTGATCTCTGAACTCAGTCTCCTCAAATCAGCAAAACCACTTGGTACTGTTTGGATTCCCATGCACTATACTGCAGCCCTTTCTAGTCAGTGAGTTGGGAAAATCATAGAACTTTGTTTCTCTGGAAAGAAAGGTTCCTTTTGTATCGATATATCTGCGTTATAACTGAAGAATACTTGGAAAATATTACAAAGGAATGTTAGTTTTGTCAGCCATCCTTGTAAGTAGATTGGCTGTTATTTTCATGCAGTACACATAGCCTTCTACCTTGATCTTTCCTCAGTGAGGGATAAAGAGATTCTGGAGAGTTCTTCTGTTGATAATGAAACTGTTTCTGATAACCTGTGTGCTTCTCTGTTATAGGAGAAAAATGCTCACTTAATTGCTTTCTTTTCTTTTTAAAAATTATTTTCTTTCTCCCTCATTCTTGCTGTCATCTTATCTTTTTTTTTTTTTTTTTTTTTTTTTTTAAGAAACAAGTCACCTAGGCTATCACCTAGGTTGGAGTGCAATGGCACAACTCAAAACTCCTAAGCTCAAGTGATCCTCCTGCCTCAGCCTCCTGAGTATCTAGGACTACAGGCATGTGCCACCAAGCCTGGCTAATTTTTAAAAATTATTTTTTGTAGAGATGGAGTCTCACTATGTTGCCCA